TCTTATTTGCTATCTATTCAAAGTTTGTTATTTCAGAATTTTTATGAAATATTTCATTTATATGCTATTGTGGATTAACAGTTTGACTATTCATATTGAGAACCATAAAAAGGGGATTCTGGAAATTTATCCCAAGAAAATTTCTACATGTATAAAAATGCTTTATTGTAGCATCATTTATAATAGTGAAAAATGAGAATACACGGATATACAACAACGGGAAAAGTATTTTATAAATAAGTTATGGCACTCTACACTCTTGTATATTTTGTGACAAGTAAAAGCTGTAATTTCACCTGCTGTGGCAATAGAAAAAAATTACACTGTTCATTTAATGAATACTTATTGAGTGTACATGCCAGGCAGTGAGCTCACAGCAGCAAGCAGGGCACAGAGAAGTCCCTGTGTCGTGAAATACAGTCACAGGTGACAAGAACAGGACCTGAGGTCAGCTGTGTAAAAATGGCTGTTGGACCAAGTGGACGGGCACGGTAACAGCCTGGCTTGTCGGGTGGCCAGATTGTGAGGCAGGTCTTTTCTGTGGCTTATATAGTATTGTGTGCAATTAAAAATAAAATCAATAAACCAAAACCGAGATAGTGGTCACATGCCACAGTAATGCGATACCTTAGTGCCTCTCTTTGGGGTTCTCGCTTTGCCTGCCTGTCTGAATGTGTGGTCGCTGTGGCCGCTGTTTGATGGGCCTCAGGGGACCTGCAGCTCTGCCCACTGTCCATCCATCTAGTCACTCGCAGACTTCGGCTCTGAAACATTCATAGTTCAGCTCTCGATTACTGCCCTGAAGCTCTTACGCTGTTCCAAGAGGTTACGTTGCAGGTATCTCGTTTTAAAAGAAAGCATCGCAATGACAAAGCCCTGCGCAAGCAGCTACGTCTCCACTCCTGACAGGCAGCAGCTGGCTTCATTCCCCCGCCCACAAAGAGCGGTTCTTCGCATTGAGATGCAGCTGAGCGTCACCGCTTTTTAGATACACGCAGGCGGTGAATTTAGAGCAAGAGTCTTGGAATCAGCAGATTGTTCTGGCATAGTGGAGAGGCACGGAGCAGCAGGCTGTTTGCATGTGTGAAAGTCCCTCTGTAAAGCTGCTTTAGTGCGTGAAGTTTCCACGACAAGGTCTATTTCTTGGGATTAAGATTTTGCATCTCTAACGATCCCTTGATGAAAATGTAAATATACAGGGACCTAGGAGTGGACAAAAATAGTTGGATTTTTAAATCATCCTGTAAACTGCTTTGTCATGATGTTCCTCCAGTTAGACTACGTGGTCAAAGCGTTGTTGCCATCTTGACCTTGCACACAGCGGCTGGAAAGGGGATATCATATTAGAAGCTCAGAACCCCCAAAAGAGAGGTGCTCGGATGTCTTTGGAGAAATTGATCTCAAACGTAGACAGCATATGGGGTTAAGTTCCCTGCTTTCCTTGCAGTAGTGAAGTTTATCATTTGTTAATTTAGCATCCTTCAGTGAGAACTTCAGCCTTTAGTGAGCCCTAGGTTTTCCCATGCCACTGGGGGAACTGCAGTATCCCATGTAAGCTGTTAATATTTTCTTGAGCTTAGTAACCACAAGCCTTTCTTTTGTCTTACAATGAATAAAGATGTTAGAAATCAGCGCAGTCAATTTAGGGACTTTTTGTAAGTCTGTTAGACTCTAACCCTGTAATGTAAACAGATGCGATGCTGATTTTTATGAAGCATATGGTTTAACGGGGCAGGAAACATTAGCACACAGGAGGTGACAGAACAGTTACATGGTAACCTAAGAAGCATTATCTGTAAGTGCCGTGATGACAGAGAATTTTTGATAGCTTACGTCCGTGTGTGCCATCCCAGCATGTTATTTTAAGGACCAGTTTGCATTCATACTTACAGTTTATTTTTCTTGTTTGCCCTTTTTCGAGGTAGTTTGATTCCAAGGTCCCTGATAATTTGTCAATTTCAGATGGTCCAGATTTCCCATTTCAGCTGAAATAAATCTTTTTCAAATCAAGGCATCCAGAGCTTCCCTTCCTGGGAAATCAGCGTACGTACCGTAGATAAGAAGACAGCACCCCCCACCAACCTTCTGTGACCTGTTCT